GAGAAAATGTTGCTCATTTCCTCGCAACATAAGTTTTTGGTCAGGGCTTATCAGAATCAGGGAAAGTCAGCCATTCGGCATTCTGTTTAGACAATGATGATCTAGTTCAGCGAGAAAGCAAGCTCAGGACGAAACATGGACACACGTTTCCTGGCTGGGAAATAAGCAAGTATGCAAAGCCAGGAATAGACGCACTTGAGAGGGGAATTTCTCTGGCATTCACCAGCCCAGATAAATCACAGATTAAACACGAGCAGCCTCTGAGTAATTTTTATTTTTGTATTTCACATTATACTATAGTGCAAACAGCTTTTGTGTTTTGACGAGAATTGTAATCGAGTCACTTTAAGTTTTTAGCTGGAAAAGTTTCTCCCCAGATGAAAAGTTTTACAAGGATTCGCACGTAGTCTGCAGCCTGCCCTTTCCACAGGTGACAGCAGGGGAGTCCGCTAGGCTGGGAAGCAGGTTCTTTCACTGTGAAGTTTGCTGTCAGACTCCTGCACCTGCTCACAAAGTGACGCTGTCGAAGCAGGCCCTGGGTGGGCAGCAAAATTCTGCACATGCTGAGTGACCACAGCTTAAAAAGCAAATAGAATGATTCCAGTACTGCAGTTTTAAGGGCAAAGAGAACATAAAGTGACAGTAATGCCATCAAGTCTCAATTACACGCTGTTCCTCAGCAGCTAAAGACAAAATTGATTATTTTTAGGGGCAAGTTCCTTTCATCGTGCAGCGACACCAACTGTTGCTCAGCTTGGCTTGGGAGTGAGCAGGAGGTGGAGGAAGGATGGGAGGGTTTACAAACGCCTTCGATGCAAGTGGAATCTCCTTGTTGTAGTCTTTCCACTCTGACTCGGCCAGAGCAGAACTGTGAGGCTTGCAGGCTGCAGACTGGCTGTCTCGCTGCTGTCCAGCCTGGCCTACCTCCTGAAGTGCTGTCCCTGACCAGGCCAGCCCTCCGGGGACGGTCTGAGGGCAGGTATACATCCATGTGTATATGTATTCTCAAGTTTAAATAGATTGTATATACTGAAATGTAAATAAACTCTATTTTTCTTGACTATTACATAGCAGTATATATTTGTTAAACATGCTGTATCCTCATCATTAACCATTTTAATATTTTGTACAGATGCACTGATTAAATATTTTATTCAGAAAACTGCTCCTGACTGGTCTTTGGTCTTTGTGATTCGGCCTTTCTGTTGGAGTGCAGCCCTCCCCTGCCGTTGCGAACAGCAGCCAAGCTTCTGGGGAGCAGGAATGGCTGCCGTGAAGCGGGGACAGCTACACAGTGGGCCTGGCCCCACCAGTCTGTCTGTATGCTGACCCCTCAGTGTCTCAGGTGTGACGTTGGAACTGCCGCACCCTGGGTCTGGATGCTGTGCAGCTCCACGGGGCCCAGGAAGGTAAAAAGTCAATGTGGGTTCAGGGGAGAAGAAGCCAAAATGCAAAAACATGCTCTCTGGGAAATGAATGCCACAGTTGTAGAGTAAGCATTCACTGCAGACCCAGGAGGAAGGGAGAGGCTTTCGGCTTTTGTATGCTTCCCACTGCTGTAGGACCCGACTTGCTCAGACTGCGTGGGCCTCCCCTGGACTCCCCAGGTGTAAGTGCAGCTGGAGCAGCTCCTCTGCTGGACGGGTGACAGGTTTCAGAGAAGCGAGTTCAGGCTTATAGTGAATTTGATGGCCACTTTGCTCAGTCCTGTCGGAGGCTCCACTCGCGTGATACGGCCAGGGCCTCTCAGCATCTCTCCCACTGGGATCGCCCAGCAGGCGGAGGGGGAGCTGCTGCACGGCTCCTTCAGTGTTTGTTTGTGTGGGGGGGGATTAGTGACGCGGCCGTCAGCCCTGCCCTCACCAAAGACACCCTGAGGTTTCCTGTGGGATGACGAGGCTGTCACTGTGACCGCCGTCTTGTCAGGGACGGCACATGTGTCCACTCGGAGCCCAGTGTCCTGCAGCATGTCAGCCGAGTCCCCGCGGATCTGTGGATTTCTTCTCTGGTAAATGATGTTCTCTTTCTGCTCCTTAATTTCATTACTACCAAATGAAGACTTCTGTTGGAAGAAAAACTGCTCCCCTTTTAACAACGTCATTTGGCAGGTAACAGTGAACGCATAAGCCGTGACCCTGCCACGGAAAAGCAGTCTCGTCTCGTCACGCTTTCTTACAGTCCTTGGGCAGGGATCTTCAGTCTGTGCTTGGCCTGTCCCGGCATTCTGTAGCTAGTGACCTCCAAGTTCGGCAAAGAAAGGGCAGTTACAGGGAGAAAGGAAACTCAGCAGCAGCACTTCAAATTTTATCCGATTTCCAAACACTGGTAAGATCAAGGCTAAGAGGGCGTGCAGTGCAGTGACCGATGTCAGGAGGCACCTGCGTGTCTCTGCTTCCTCCCTGGTCCTGCAAGGTCCCCAGGCTGCCCTGGCGTCTGCTTATCTTCAGCAGGCCAAAGTGAAGATGGATCCAGTCTGTGCCACTGAAGGTGGTTCCTGATGGGGTTCTGGGTTTGGGGGCTGCCATGTCCCTGGACCTCCATTCATCTGCTGGGGACAGCAATCTGGGGAGAAACTCGTCCTCTGGGATGTGTCACCGCTGCTTAGCCATCAACTGTGGGGCTGTGGCGTCTGCCGAGCCCGAATCACATGCAGGTGCACAGGCCCTCGGCAGTGGCAAGTAGGAAAAAGCCCAGATGTTCTGCAGAGCCAGAGCCGGGGGGATTTGCAGAGGTGGGGTTCTGGCTACTCGGAGGGAGGGAGGAACCTACAGGTGCACGCGCACCCCGGAGCTGTGAAGGACACCCCGTCGTGGGGTCACGTTCCCATCACAGGAAAGAGGAATTTTCCCATAGACTTACCCAGCAAGCAAACTTGTTCCAGTGTGAGGTGAGCACGGGCCCCTCAGCCAGAAAATGTGAGGGGTGCAACCCAAAACGAGAATGCTGCTACCCTGGGGCGCTCTCGCGCACTGAGGCTGGATTTCCACTGTGTGTGCTGCACAGTGTAGCACCCGACAAACGGGAAGCCACACACCAGGCATTGCTGACTCCCAGGTGCTGATCACGGGAGGGTGGAAGAGGTGGTCACAGCCAACGGAGGAGAAGAGTGGCCCTGAGGTGTAGCGGCCTGTGCTTTCATTATCCCCTGGGCCAGGCACCAGCGGATGCCTTCTGACCGGGTGTGCTGTGCGCGGTTGGGAGACTGCTATGGGACAAAACAGCAAGTGCCCGTGCCAGCGCAGAGCCATGACAGCCAGAGTAGCGGTGAGGCCGACATGGGATTTCCTGCTAGTCTGACCGACCGAGAATCTGCATTTATACCACATTCCTGTGGCAGGCCCTGTTCTCTGAGCCGCGTGGGTGCAGAGGCAAGATGGGGACAGGTCCTTCTCTCAGGAACTCTCCCGCAGGACAGGAAGGGATGAACAGACCAGAGAAGGTGCATAAGGAGGTACGGTGAGGGCTCCTAGACTCACGCGCTGCTCTGGGAAGCAGGAGCAGTTGGTGCTCCAGGCCCAGGCCCGGGAGGGGCAAGGCGGGCACTGTCCCAGCTGAGCAGTGAGTCCGCAGCTTCAGAAGGGCAGTGAGAAGACACAGGGTCTGGGGTGAAGCCCAGACGGCCAGGTCAGTATGGCAAAGGTGCCAGCCTGGCTGCAGCCGCAGCGCAGAGAAACTCTTGCCTCTGAAAGCGGGTGTCATGGCTCTGCTTCTTTCAAAACCACCCCCATGTTCCTCGCCCTCTGCTCTTTACTTCCTCGGTCAGTCAGGCCCTCACTGCCCTTCATGGGACTCCTTCTCAGCCTCACACCATTCTTAGGTTTGCCGGCTGCGGCCTCCAGGAGGCAGCAGGATGCAGAGGAAAGAGTGGACGCTGGAGCGGGAATCTCCGCTGTCACCTAACAGCCGCAGGACCCCGATCACAGTGCGTCCTTTACACCAGGTGGTAGCCTGTCCAGTGGGCAGTCGGAGCCCCCAGGAGTAGGTGACAACGACAGTGCAGGGGTTTTTACCTGGACTCCTCTGTTCCAAACCACCCAAGTTCCACCTGCCCTTCTGGGACTAGGGGCAGCCACCTCCTGCTTTGTTCCCAGGAGCTTGCTTTGTAACTATGGCAACCAGGGCCCAATCTGGGTATCATGCTCAGCGACACCCCTCTTGCTTGGGGACACCTTTGGGCTGGTGGGAGTGGCCAGATGCGCGCACCACAGCTGCTCCCCCAGGACCGATGTGACCACTCACACACGTGCATGGGGCACAGGCAGGAGGACTCCGTCCCCTCAGAAAGCTACTAGGACACTCATACAAGCTTTTCTGCCATCCTCACCTGTTCAGCAGGGATCAGCTCAAGGCCTCAGAGTGTTTGTTCACAAAGCACATGTAATTCCAGCCCGACCTTCCCCTAGCTCCTCCTCTCAGGGAAGGTGCAACCCAAGTGTGCCCCACCTCTTCTTCAAGGGAAGGCAGGAATAAAAATGACGGTGCTAAGAATCGCTTTGCTTCCCGCATCATTTCTGTCAAGTATGAAAGCACCGGGCTGTGTGAGAGGCTGTGAGGGAGTGTCACCTATGTCACCTGGTGACCGACTCAGAAACGCTACAACTACAGGAATCAAGTCACAGCCTGGGTGAAATAATGCCAGCTGGTGTGGGGCCTACACTGCACTGGAGAGAGACCCTCTTACAGAGCAGCGTGGCGAACAGCAGACTGTCAGCACCAAGAGCTCTGAAAGGCTCCCCTCGCTGTCACAGAGCACTGACTGAAAACCACGTAAGACACTGAACGTTGCATGTGTGACCTTGTTTCTCCATTAAAAACAAAACAATAAGGGTCAGGGGTTTAGCTCAGTGGTTCTGGCACCTGCTTTGAAAGTGCAAGGACCTGAGTTTGATCCCCAGTACAAAAAACAAAACAAAAAACCAAACAAAACGAGAAATCCTCCACTCAAACAAAACCCTAAGGTGAGTGAAGATGTTCTCCCAATTTTACAGGTGAGGGGCTGGGGTTCAGGAGGTGAGATCTTTATGCAGCATCACAACTCTCATCAGTGGTAGATCTGGGATGTGAACTCAGGTGTCCATTTACTATCTAGAAGGGATTCATTTTCAGAAAAAGAAACACTGAGAGGCAGCCTCAGAAGAAAGCATGGTGTTTGTTTTGTTTTAAATTGTCTGTATAAATTCAAAACCATCTTACAATACCAAAAAAATTTCCAAGCACAAAGAACATCATTTTCTCCTGAAGCATCGCGGAGTACACGGACACGATCCCCCGAGGCCCTTCTCCTACTCCTCCAAGTACAGCTGCTGAAACTGGAAAATGAACTTCGGGATCTTATGCCCGGCCGATCTTCAGGCTCCACCTGAGCTGTGCACACCATCCCAGTCATTTATCGATAACGAACACATCCATTTCAGACCCAGCTGCCGTGTTAGGCTGCCTATCTCTTTAGTCTCTGGGGCTATTTTATTGTAGTAGCAGTGCAGGATGAAGAGCCCCGCCTTTAGAGGCACTGGCTCTCCAAGGCAGAGTGGAGAGGCCCTGGCAGGGTGCCCTGTTGTCCTGCACATCAAGCTGTGCCGGCTGCGGGGACCTCTGGGTGCGTCTCGTGCCCCAGAGCAGATGGGGAGTAGGTGTGGCTCAGGCCAAGGGCTGCCCCTGCCGCAGCTGCTCTGCATTGGTTGATTCTAGAAGTTCCACCTAAGATGAACAGTGTCAGGTATTGACCTGAAGATGCAGACAGGACTGCTTCTGGAAAGTGGACCACGTCTACTGTGTACCAGCTTTTGTCTTTTGTGTAATTCCTAATGAAAGTGAACCTTAGAATCCTGAAATCGCAACACGTTAGTGGAGAGCTTCAACCAGAGCCTGACTCAGCTGCCCAGACCGCCCCTCTCCCATCCCACACACATTAGGCAGACACAGTCCCAAGTGCTGGTAAAGTATTTATCTCGAAAATTCACTTGGTGCTTACACGACAGACAGGAACTAAGAGCTAGTATCATTTTGAAATTCTAAAAACCAAAGTTTCCCATGTGCAGATTTTTTAAAATAGAGGAATGTTGCAAAATAACATCTCAAACCCAGCTGTGGGTGTCCTTTCCTCCCGTAGGCCTCTGGTTTACCAGCTTCTGCGCCTGATGCTGTGTGCGTGGCATCTCCTCGACCCGAGCAGAACAGCGTGAGTCTGGCTTCAAATACCAGCTCTCCAGAAGGGCTCGCCACGCAGATGCCAGGGGACCACAGCAGCCCGGCCCTCTGGCCTGTGTGTCTCGTCCTCCCTCCCTCAGCGCCACGGGACGGCACGTCAGAGTTCAGTGCTCTGTGAGGGAAGGGCGGCCCTGCACGGTCCCCGAGGAATGCTAACGTCCGGGCCCTCGCACAGAAGGTGGGATGCTGCCATGCATCTTCAGCGTCACTGCCGCCAGTGTGAGATTTCAAGACCGAGTCTGTTCCGGGAGGGCAGCCACACGGCCAGCCCGCTCTCAGCCAGAGACGCTGCCTCCACAGGGCTCGCTGTGTCGGGGGAAGCAGAATGCCCACGATCCGACGGCTCACTTGGGTGCATTGGCAAAATAATTTCTTTCCAACAAACACAGTTAAGGCAAATGGAGAAAAACATTATGTTTGTATTCTACTTGGCAACTTAAAACACCTTCTCATACATTATTAACTAGGAGATTTTCAGAAGAAATCACAAAGTAGCTAGGAATATTGTTATCCTCAGTGGCTGGCAGAGAACTCAGCTCACAACCACCCTTAGCAGACAGTTTACTGCGAGGCTGAGCAGGGGCCAACGCATGTAGTCCTATCTGATCCAGGACAGCCCGGCCCTCTGTACACAGCCTGCGGCAGAGGCAGAGCGGGAGCCTCAGTAACCTCCCTGTGATCTGCTGGGTGCCGTCGGGAGAACTCTGTCTTGGGTCCAATGCAGGGAGATCAGAGTCACGCTGATGGTCACAGCCAAGGCCTGTGCAGCGCTAGTCTGGGACGATTTTGATCTTTCGTTCTCGAAGGAAGCCCAGGTCCACCGCCAATACCCACCGCTATCACTTCCCACAACTGGGCGAGGAGTGTGTCCTTGTCACAGTCACACACACATCTCTCTTCATGTTTAGTATTTCATCATTCTGCCCAAAGGAGCCTCAATTCAAATCTCGGTTTTTCCTTTTGTCTGCAAGGAGACTGCCGACTAACACAGCGTGTGGTGTCACTGGGCCTCTTGTGTGGAGAAGTCTTTATTCAGGTCACAAACGCAGTTATTCACCAGCCCTTCATTCAGCATGTAGCGTGGAGAGCTGGGAGTTTTTAAGCCAAGAGGTTTTTTAATTTTTTTCTTTTCTAATATCAAAATTAGTTACCTACTAAACACAGTACACCTAGTGACCCAGGTACTGACTGCAGATGCTTATTTCCTGCGTCGGTATTTATATTTCAGACAGGTTATCCTTTACCCAGGTAGCAATCATCTCAGCCATGTCTTGGCTAAAATGCAAGACAAAGGCATGAGGTATGTTTTTCTCACAGAGTCGAATATCTCCTTCTGGAAAAACTTTCTTTATGTCGTCATAGTACCTTATTGGACACCAAGAGTCTGAAGTTCCATAGTAAAATGTAAGCTGAAAGACAAGACAGAATACTCCATTAGGAAACACTTTGCCCTCTACTCACAGGTATGATAACGGTGGTCACAGGTCTTCGAAGGCAGTACCAGCACCTGGCCCCATCTGCCTTAGGGCTCCCTCATGGAGGCAGCAAAATCATAGTTCATGGAGCTGCATGAAAAGGATCAGATGGAAAGAAACCTGTGTAGGGAGGCCCTTGTGTAGCAGCAGATGTCCAGCAAAGTCGTGTGTGTTAATATGGCATGGCCATGGCGACCATTTGACAAAGCTAATCGTTTTCATACAGCCACATGGCAGGCATATGGAACGTGTTTGTTGGATGAATGCGAAATCAGACACTGAGGCTTTTCAATTAGATGATAAAATGTGATCAGTATTCTGCGAGAGTTAATGACAATTCTAAGAAAATGCTCCACATAACAGGAGAGTATATGAATTCAGTGCAGGTACTGTCATCACACTTCAGGTGACAACAGGAAGGCTGAATGGAGACGCAGCACTCTTTGGCACATTATCAAGACCTTTATCTTCCTGTACCTGTATCTGATCCATAGACATATTTTATATATATATAGGTTATATGGCTCTATATTTGATACGTATCATATACATACATAGTTGTAGGTTGCTGTGCACTGAAAAATTTCTATGCTGTAGTTCTGAGTTTTTTTTGTTAAAAGCAACAAATGTGAGTAGCTTACATTCAGAAGGGCAGAGAGTGGAAATTCCTACAAAACATGACGACTAAGTTTTCAGGAGCCCATGACACCTGTTATCACCGAAGAAGTTTCGCCTAGCTTCATCCGGAAGCAGGACACTTGCAGTGTCCATAACACACTAAGCTTGCTTTCTCACTCAAACACTTAATCACTTACTCATCTGTCTGTTCAGGAGCATTTCTGCTGTGTTAGGAACCTGGAAAGCAGACAGTAAGACTGTCCTAGGGAAGGACAAATGGGATCCACTGCCCAAGGCTGCCCAAAGCCAGATGAGGGGAGACAGTGGGAGGAGGAACCCTCAGAGAGAGCTGAGGCCCGCGTGGAGTCTTCGAGCTGGGGGAGGGCGCTGCAGAGGGCAGACGGAGCAGTCACCTGCACGAAAGAGTGCAGTGCTGCTGTGGGAGCGGACGTCAGTGAGGTCAGAGTGGATGGCAGAGGGAGGTGTGCCTCACTGCAGGAGCGAGGAAACACTGTCTTCTCGCGTCGGTGAGCTAACGGAGGATATCATCAAGAGTGAACCATCAGGTCTCCATGTCAGGGGCACAGACAAGATGGCCCAGAGGGGGTCAGGAGGTGGGGAAGGCAGCTCGGGAAATGGGTGTGAAGTGCTCAGGATAGTTTTACTACATCCACTGTTAAATCCACACTGTGTATGTGGGGCAGGTGAAATTTCCCTTATTAAGGAAAACTGGCCTTCACTGAAATAACAGTACAACTTAACACATATTTAGAGAGAGTTAAAATATTTTTATTTGTTTGGAGACAGGGGCTCACCATGTTCAAGACTAGCCTTGAACTCAATTGTGCCTCAGCTGCCCGGAGTACCAGAATTGTAGGTGTGAGCCACCGTGCCCAACTTAACATAACCTTTAAAGACAAAAACAATGGAGAATTCCAGAGAGTAAATCATTAACAACCAAAGCGAGTGGCTGATTTTATTCTGAATCACTTCGCAGAGATCTACTCGGGTCTGTCTGGAATACTGCTGGGACTGTGGCTTAGATATATCACTTTTTTTTATTCTTCCTAACCTTCTAGTTTTGTACATTCCAGCCACTTCCGAGTACTGCAAGCCCCTAAGACCAAAATTTATTTTGCCCTGGTCTTGTATGGTAATGAATTTGTTTTGCTCAGCAGTTGCTGGTTCTTTATCCTGGTCCCAGCTCTTCTGATAGGTCTAAGATAGCCCATTCTACAGCTTTCCTGCCTCAGCTGGTCACGGAAACATGCCTTTCCCAGGACCTGTCAGCAACTACCCTGCTGCAGCTCCCCCTGAAAACTTGCTCTAAGTAGACGCCACCTGCAAGTATGACTACTAATTACCTAGGGAAGGGTTCCTAACTTTAGGTTCTCCCCAAACCACTTCCTACACTTGACCACCAGGGAACTGGTGAAACACCATCCAGGAAGTATGTGCCGCAGTCCCTGTGCACGGTTGTTCAGCCCTTCCCCAGAGTAGGAAGCGGCTGAGAGATCCAGGCTTGGGAGCCGGCCCATCAGGTCCGTTCCTCTGCTCCAGCGCTCTCACCCAGAGACACTGGGGCAGGAGGAAGCCTGGCTGGGACCCTCGCTCCAGGGACAAGTCCCGGGAAGACTGAACGCAAGTCAGCCAGAGGACAGCAGGCCGAAGAGGCCCTGCCCTACAGCCTCCTTGACACCAATGCCACTGCTCACACTTGCTGCTCCTTTCCACCTGACGTTTCAAGAACTGTTTCTAAGAAGAACCCGACATTTCCTTTTCAGTGAGGCAATTAAAACGTGCAGTGTCTCCACTCAGAAGCCAGGCTGGTGGCCCTCAGCATCAGAAAAGGCACTGCTTCCCTCACGCATGAAGACTGAGGCAGGAAGCTGAGCAGGGTGAAGCACACAGGGCCCCCGAACCCTCTGCAGTGTGGAGAGACAACTCACGTCCAGGTAATGACGGGCACACAGCGCCTGTGGTTGGATGTACCAGGAGCCTCACCCAAAGTAGTGTTCGTGTTCAAGACAGCCTAAGAGAGGATTCATGTTTCCCTTACGTTCATGTGAGCTTCTCAGTTCTCTATGACTGATAAGTTACAGCAAGTCTTTTAAAAACTTTGCTTTGTTTTCTAAGTTCTTCAGGCTGTATTCACCGAAGGCCTCTCCATGAAAATCTTGGCTTACAAGTATAACACGTGGTTATCTAATACATTAATGAAAACTGGCTTGAAGTATTTCCTGCTCCTTGTAGATTATAAATGACAGGTCATAGATCTGACCAGAGGACTCACACCTGTAACCTTTAAAATCGTATGGGGTGTGTGGAGGCAGTGGTGGGGAACAGGAAGACAGGCGAGGCAGAGAGAGCGAGCGCTCACTGAACACCAAAACCCGACAGTTGAGTGTAGCACTACTGTCCCGGCACAGAGACACAGGTGGAGACGCGGCACTGTGAACTGACAGAACAGAGAATGAGGTGCAGGGCTCTGTGCCACCCACCTCTCACGAGTCAGCTCAGTGCACTCTGGCCACAGTGCTCTGAGGGGTCTCCTTCCTATCTTACAGAAAAGAAAACTGGCTTAGGGAAACTGACTGACCAGGCCCAGCCACGTGGGGATCTTTGGTGAACCGCACTGCCTGGCGTGAAGGGAGGCAGCTGCGTCTGGGGAGTGACTGCTTCTCACCCGGTATGCTCACAGCTGTGGCAGCTAAGACAGCCGCTCTCCTGGGCTGTGCAGGCTCCCGCAGCGCTGGGGTGTCTGGGGCCGTTGTGCTGCGAGGCAAGGAAAACAGCAGGCCAGTGCTGCAAAAGCAGCCGAAGAGCAAGACGCACCTGCTCTGGGAGGAGCTCTGTCTCCTCTGCCCGACCTTGAGAGGTCAAGGAAAAGGATGTCATTCGTACCTTCTCCACTTCTTGTTTCCTCCCTGGAATAAACTCCAACCCCACAATGTTTTTGTTTGTTTTGTTTTGTTTTTTAAATGAAAGACGCAAAAGGTGTGACACAAAACAGCCTGTTGCTTACCAGGGGATCACTCAGTACCCCACACGGAGGCCTCTGTGTTGCTCAGCCTTTCATCACTGTAACAAATACCCGTGACAGTCCAACCTCTACAGAGGCAAGGCTCAGAGGCTCACAGTTTCAGAGCTTCTCCTCCATGGTCTGACTGGCCCTGCTGCTTCGGGCCTGTGTGAGGCAGCACATACGGCAGGGAGTGTGTGGTGGAGGACGCTGCTCACCTCACAGCGGGCAGAGAGTAAAAGGAGAGGCAGGAAGGGCTTGGACTCCCCTTTCCCTTGAGGGCTGGCCCTCAAAGACAGGCCCCATCTCACCCCTAACAGCACCAAGCTGGGGACCAGCCTTTCACACAGGGGCCTCTGAGAGACATCCTAGACCCAGCTAAGGCACTCCCGCAAATCTCCTACATGGGTTCCCTAGCCTGCCTCATCTCCCTGACCCCTTCCAGCTTTCTAGGGTTCAGGATACAGACTCTTAGGTCCTCCAGTGCATCTCACTGTGAGAACAACCGAGAACAGGCTGGACAATAGCACCAGGCTCCTGCTTCTCCCTCCTGCTGGAGTCCTAGACACTTAGGCCTTGACCCTGCAGTGTCAAAGGTTCCGTAACATGAACATCTCCTTTCAGTTACTCAAGTATCTACAGAGCGTTACAATTTCACTGTGGTCTTTCTGAGCAAACTAAGTAACTTAAAGAAATGGAGATGTTTAAGACATTTAATTTTCAATTTATCTTGTTTCTTTTCTCCCTTTATCTCTATCTGACTCAATTATTCTTGAGAAAATGAGAATTACAAGAAAACAGATGTGAACACACAATATTCCCTGCCTGCAGGACAGTCTGCTTCCTTCTGCAGGCATCTGAAATGGAGGTGCCCTCCACGGATGTAGCCCAGTGGTGCCAAGCCTGCCTGGTACACGCAAGGTCCTGAGTTCGATCCCTGGTACAATTAAAAAGGAAAGAAAGCAATGGAGGTGCCAAAAGAGCAGAAGTTGATCCCAGTGGGGCCCTGCCTGGCCCACCCTTTGGTGGCTAAACAACTATGCACACACAGCATGTAGAGCGGGGCTCTCTCCTTCCGGGACGTTGGTGCATACAGGGCTAGACCCCCTCCCTCCCACAGTGAAGTCACAAAGCCATCTAGTGACCAGTTTCCTCTTTCTTAGTGGGACTGCTGACCCACGGTAGCTACTTTCCTCTGATGAGGAAGACAAGTATGAGGCATTGGGAATCAATATATCAGTTTTATTTCTGTTCTTCCCTGATTATATATCTCAAGAAAGTGGCAGCTATTTTG